CATGCCGCAAGTACTAACAGTTCCGACTTTTCCGGAGCACATTGGAGGCTGCAGGTCTTGAGATATTCTTCAGTGATGTTAATCCGCCTCTTGAAGTCGGTCCTCCTGTTCCCCGTGCTTGCACCTCTTGTCTACATAGTGATATAATCTGCGTATAACGTGTGATCTATCCCAGGGACAGCGTCCAAGAGACATGGGAGCTTAAGGAGGGCCAAGTTGAAAAGAAGTGGTGATATTGCCTCGAGGCGTATTGCGGATAGTGTTGCGCATGCCGATAGTGTTGCGACTGAGCCTCGCGGTGTGCCTTTCTTTGTTAGGGAGTTGAAAAAGCTCGCTCCAGATATTGGCAATACCTACAGTGGATGTGCGGTTGGTGAGGAAAGCCAGTATGTAGGCGTATGTTCTGGCTCCGCAGCCGACATCTTCCAGGCTACGCAGAATAGCTTCGTGGCTCACATTGTCAAATGCACCTTTTACGTCCAGAGCTAGAACAGATGAATTACTGGGCTTGCTCAAGCAGAGAAGAATATCTTCCTTTATCTGCAAGAGGACGTCTTGTGTGCTGAGCATTTGGCGGAAGCCGAACATGATGTTCGGGCAGTGACCATTGTCTTCGAGGTGTATGGTGAGCCGCTCGTTTACCATGTGCTCAAACAGTTTCCCAGCGCAAGATGTAAGGAAAATGGACAAAGATTCGTAATCGAGATGGGCTTGTTTGGATTGGGTACCATGGTCACCTCCGAGTGCTTCCAGGCTTGTGGTAGCTCGCCCTTTTTCCAGCAGTCGTTATAGTGCCGAAGGAGTGCCAGTCAACGTCCGGGGCGGTAGCTGTCGTAGGTGCTTATTGGTCATTCTGTCTTTTCCTGGGCTCGTGTTGCGCGTAAGCTTAGCGAGGGCCACGTGTAGCTCTGCCTGCGTGAAAGGCTGATCTAGTGCTTCGTTCAGGTGCTCCTCAGTACTCCCTGGGTGTCAAAGTGTTGATGGAGGTAGCTTGCTGGTTAACAGAGCCACACAGCTTTGCTTGAAGTTCTTGGAGTAACTGGTGCTCTGTGCCCTCATAGTTGTGCATGAGCCGCTGAATTGTATTTCTTTGATTAGTTTTGGTGTTGGTGTCGTCGATCAAGGCTCGAAGAATGCGCCAAGTCTTCTTTGTGCTCATTGTCTCTTGAAGTTTGTAAGAGAAGGACCGCCAGTTCTGGCTCGCAAAGTTTTCGGCATACTCTTGTGTCTGCGTGGTGAGTACGGCAATGTGGCGCTTCATCTTGCGGTTGAGCTTTTTCGGTTGCCATCGTTTAATAAGCGATCTTCGAGCTTCCCATAGGTGAAAGAGATGATTATCGACTGCCGGATTGTCCTCGTTCAAGTGTATCGTTTCGGTATGTCCGTCAGCAACACATACAATACTGTTTAACCAGGCTTCAATGTCTTTGATAGTCGCGGTCCAGTCAATGAGCCGAGCATTACCTGTCTTGAGCGAGCGGTGAGCCTGTTCGACCTCTATTTGAATGATGTGATGGTTGCTCCCTAGAGTGTCCGGTAGCATTGTCTACGTTGCGTTGTGCACGACTTGAGTGAACGTGAAATCAGGATTAGTATCCCTCGACATGCTGTTGCCCATTCGGGTTGGATGAGGCAAGCCATTCCACTGTGTCAGACCGTGTTGCTGTGCAGCGTCGTGAACACGCGCCCCCTTCTTGGTGGTGCTGTGATAGCCCCAGGCCGTGTGTGGAGCATTGAAGTCCCCAACTAAGATGAGTCGGTTGCCGTTAACCATTTGACGGAGCTCATGGACGAAGTGGTCGTATTCGTGCAACTGCTCCCACGGAGGGCTGTAAAGGTTAGCCAGGTATAAGCTCTGTTGAGTCTTTCGAGTGGGGATTATCTCCACGATGGTGTCTTCGATGCCAATGTCTTCAATTTCATGAGCCTGTGCGGTTAGAGTCTTCTTGACAAGAACTGCGGTGCGGGGTGAGCATGTGAGAGTGCTGTAGCCAGGGAGCTTGATTTTTTCTGTTTGGTTTTGCTGCAACACGATTCTATCTGGATTATTTGTTTTAACATATTCTTGCAAGTTTGCAGAACGAGGTCTGTAGGATCTGCAATTCCAGTGCCAAATTCGAAGAGTGGGGAGTGGCTCAGACTGTCTACGTGTGGGAGCTGCCATTCTGGCAGTTGATTTCCACCTGGTGCCGGTAGTTTGGTGCTGTCGATCGAATACGCCTGGTGCTGGTAGTTTGGTGCTGTCGATCGAATTTCTGCTGCAGTTTCATCCCCTAAAGTCTTTCGCTCTTTCCACTTGATTCCTGATTACTCCACCAGCTGCTCATGGGTAACGAAATTTTTGTATGCATAAGTTATGAAGTTATGCTGTTGGGCCATGAAGCCATCAAGCTTGGCGTCGAGCCTGCTTACAGTACGGGTCAGTGGGTCTACCTTTTCCATAATTTTAGTAACCACTTTCTCTATGGTTATGTCTATGGATGCGAGGAGTTTCGCAGTGATGGCTTCCTCGAAAACTTCAAGAGGTCGTTCGACGAGGTCGAGCATCTTCGCTTCATCTGCTAGCAGCCTTTTGTCTACCTGCTTCATTATTCTTGCTTCCGTCTGTTTTAGTATGCTGTCGTCAAGTTCTAGCGTGCTACACTCGGCTGGTGGGCGGTGTTGTATTCTCCATTGTAGATCTTAGACTTTATTTTCTAGAGCCCTTATGATCGCTGTCTGAGCAGGCGAGATGGTCGAGGCACTTGTGGTATTTAGAGAACTGGGCTCGTCACTGCCGGCCACCGCGGCGGCGTCACTGATTCTCCTAACGGAGCGAGACCGTGATAGCGTGCGGGATCCAGAGCGACCTTTTTTCTTAGAGCGAGAGCGACTTTGGTCAGATTTTTGGTGAAAAGAGGGGGCCCGTGAAATTTCTGGTGTGATAACCGACCCGGGTAAATCATTGGATTGAGCACTCCAGCGATTCTCACGGGCGCGGGCGTTATCGAGCTGCTGGCGTCTTACTTGATAAGGACGGGGGTTGCTGTGGAGTTTCTTCCTGCGTTCCTTTCCAGCAGTCTCATGGTATTCTCCACCGATCTTGCACATTGGTTGGCAGTCGTGTGGTTCTGTGCCTTTTCGTTGCCGCATTTATAGCAGAAGTTCGCTTTCGGCTGAGGGCAGACGTTTTGTCAGTGACCTATAGCGCCACAGGTTTGGCTATATTGGATGGACTTCGGTATGGCTTGCATCGGTAGTCTCCACTGAGGTACGTTACGTAAAAAAGAACGTGCTGCCCGTCGAAAGTAATAACTGCAGCAGTGGAAGATCCCAGCATGCGCGCGCCAAAGACGTGCTATTTTGGGTCTATGCGAAGTCCTGCGACAATCTCCATGTGGCTTGTTCCTGGTTCGAGGCCGTTGATCACTCCGGTGCACACATCATCGGGAAGTCGAATATGCGGATTTACTTGATATATTACTCCACCGAGCTGTATATCATTTAGACTTTGCAGTTTGGAAGTTCATTCAGTACTTGCTGTGCTTGCGATGATCACATTTTCTACTTTCTGCACCTGCACTCGCACATGGTCATAAAAGTCCTGCTGCACCAAGCCACTGGATCTTCCCATGGCATGTGTAACCTCGATGAGTGTTCGCTTTGAAAGATCTAGTCCTGGTTGCGGGCGGAATACAATTTTGTAGTCATCAGTAGGGAATGGCTGCATCCTAGTGCTACGTTGACGCTGCGGTTGAGATTCAGCATCTGACTTCACAGGTTGTGTAGCTCCTTCTTCGGCTGCCTTGTCTTCTTTGGCTGACCTGCCTTTACGGTCAGCTTGTAGCCACTCAATGTAGGCTTTGCTTGTCGTTTTGCCACTATTTTCATCAAACGTCCAGTGTGATGCCGTTCTTGAGTTACCCTCCATGTTGTACACTTGCATCGTACTCGAGCCCCCTTGACATGGGTTAGACGTCTGCGTTTCCATGAGAGCGTTAGCTCTTAACCTCAGACGCTGTGCCTGTGTGTTGCGCGAGCAGCATGCTCGTGCACCTACGAGCCGCTGGCGTCCAGCTTGTTTTGCAGGCCCATCCTCGTGTCACAGCGGCGTGCACGTGCAGCGCGGCCTCTGGATTCCTTGGTGATGTTGGGTCCCAGCGAACAGGCACAATATGTTTGGAGTTCAATATCTAGTAAAAAGTACTCACTGCGATGAGTCTGCTGTCAAACGATGCCCTGTAACATGAGGAATCCCAAGTCACCAAATGCGAGCAGTGTCTAGGCAAGGTTGCACAGAAAATAGCAGTAAGAGCAGTAGCCTATGTGAGGTGCGACTACGCACCTCGGCCCCCTGGTGGCTAATCTCTCATTATCTGAGGTAAAAAATTATCTTAATGTCATGACATTCTTCATAAGATCACAGATAGCCTCAATTGGTGACATCATGAGATCAAATGATGATGTCATCAAATAACATTGTCCCTTGGTGAAAGATTCATAAAATTTCCCACGTAATCAACACGCCCCCAACTTCGCTTTGATTTTTCAACAAAGACTCGTGGCCTGACGTCAGTCCGAGTCCGAGCAAGTCCACTCATGAGTCAGTTTGGCAGCCTATGCCTGTTAATAAACGTTCAGTTGTGAGTCAGTGCTATAGTCTGACCCTCGTTTTCTCTTTGTCCATGTCGTCATTGTACTGTGTTTGCAAAATGTTCAAGTACTCTCAATCCTAATATGTAGGTGCATCGCGTAGAACAACAATGTTTGCCAAAATGCACCAAATTAGCGCTATAACAAGTTTTAAAAAGTCACTGCAGGAGGAATTGGATATTGAGTTTCTACAACTCTCTTGGTTGTACAGTGGGTGTTTGAACGGCGTACTGTAATACCTCCCCTTCGCAGCCATCTCTGTCCTCCTAACATAAAAACAAAACAAATGTTTTGGGAGCTAATTTGGGCTGACTGTATTCTAAAACCTTTCCACTTGAAAGAGCTCATTTGCTATTTCTTGCTCACAGGGCTGCAGAGAGGGAACTTGCGTTGAAAGACAACTACATTGCTATGCAACGCTTGCAGCATAGGCTAGCCACATGTGAGTATAAAAAGTGGACATATTTCTTTCACTTCAGTGCACTGTGGTATAGCTGGTATAAGACTGGCATTCTTAATTCTTGATGGGGTGAAGCCATTTAAACTAGGAGTGTGCGAATATTCAAAACTTCGGATATTTTTCTTATAGTGTTTGCTATTCGATTAGATTCACAGTGAAATTTTACTATTTGAACTTCTCAAAGACAAAATAAGTTGGGCAGATCCCACGTGCCTTGGTAATCGATGTCATGCAAAGCATGCGGAGGAAAGGTGACTGTGTTCTAATTTTTTTATTGAGTGAAATCTTGCAAAACGATGCTAAGGATGTGTACAAATGTTGTGCACACTGACATCAGTTTACAACCATAGCGGAGCCCTAAAGGTAGCTTTGCCCCAATATGAAGAAGTAATGAAGTGAAACACAATAAAAATGCGAAGGAGGTATTGTAATGGTGCATTTCATCTCCTTGTAGGAATCGGCGTTTTCTCGAGTCACTACATTCACTACCATATCAAGGTCTGAAAGGCGGCTTTGCTGCAACACTTGCAATAGTATAATAGGTTGAAGCATAAAAAAAAAAAAAGCTTAAGGGGTCATTGTTTATCCAACGTTGACTGTATTTTTTTTTAAAGTTCTAATAGTCAAAACTGTAGTGCGAATCGAATCAAATAGCAAATAACTGTGCAAATAGCAAAATTTTAGGCTTCAATAATAAAACTACGGAAAAATTTTTGAATAGCAAACACTAGAAGAATATGTAAAAGTTTGAATATTTGCTTACCCCTACTTTGCACCCAAAATAACACTATTTTCACAGCTCTAGTTTAAATTTTTGATTACAGCAGTAAGTAATGATGTTTTCTTCATTTTTTTTTTTACGACAAGGCTACGGTGTGAATGACCAGCTGATGGAAGAGTCAAGGGCTACGGGACAATACAGCGCTGTACGTATGCAGCCTTTAATTTTTTATCTAGGGAAGTAAATAGCTAAGGGACTCCTCATCATGATTCAAGTCATGCAGTCATTAATTCAACATGTTAAAAGGGTCCTGAACCACCTTCATAATAAGTGATCTTTAGGAGCGTTATGTTGGTGGGCTCTGAACTCCAAAGGAACGTGCTCAAATATGCGCTCGAGTGCGATGCCTTCAGAGCTTAGCCCTACGGCGATTTCTGCTGAATAATTGCTTTTGAGGGCACAAAACGGTTATATGGCAAATGTAATGTTTCCTAAGTAGGAACGATTAATAAAGAAAAACACACTTTAACGGTGGAGACAGCTGGAAGCACGCCATTCGTCTGGAAGCCGTAGTAGAGGCGAGCTCTTTAGCAGGCCCTCGTGCACGGTGTCATGAACCAGAGGTCATTTTCTAACCCCTTAACTGCTTTGGATGAGTATAGCTCGTCCTGCCCAAACTGTCGCCATACTGCTTTGGACGAGTAGAACTCGTCCTAGTGGAATAGGTACTCCTCTCTAGCATTCAGGCGGAGGAGCACACATTTGCGAGTTACATTGCACGTCATCCACTAAATGGCAGCATTTTCTTAAGGATTTAGTTTTTTCCTGCGGCAGGAGAGCAGTTTTTGTATGGAAAGGTAGTGTGCAGTAGCGGCGATCCATGCTTAGCTGGCTTGTAGACACGAAAAACAAGCTATTCGCTTTCGTCATCTTCTTCGAGTGATGATGATTCGATTGCAGATATTTATCTTGTGTTCGGAAGTGAAGACAGCGATGACGGTGAATTAGTAGCTGTTCCAGTGATGATGAAAACAGCTTGGACGCGAACAATGCGAGTGCCCGCAAGTGAAGCCGCTTTGCATTATTCCGTCTTTTAAAATTTTCCGCACTGCCCCGAAATTTCCCAAGTGAAATACTCAAGGCTGCCTAGCCCACACAAGTGAAAAAAGATGTGGCGTCTGTAACTATCTTGTTTATAAGGTTTTTAATTTTATTATCAGCAGGTAGTGGATTTATATGTATTGTTCAGAAATAAACTTCAGTCCTTTCATCTAACTCTAACTAACTCTAACTCTAAGTATCTGGTGAAAAATTTTTTCCACATCGACCAGCTGCTTTTAGTATGATCAGATTCGAAATCAGCAATAAAAAAGTATGCACTTTATGGCCGGAAAATTTCAAAGTGAATGAGCAGTTAAGGGGTTAATGGTCAAGTTTACTAGACCGCACTCCTTTGGCTAGGGTGCGCATGAGCTCGTTAACTTAACCCACCCATTGAATAACCTTGGTATCAGGGTTCATTGCTTCACGAATCTAATGCTGGGAAAATTTCTCGTATCCATCAAGAATGAGCAGAGTTACATAGGTTTGTGAAGCACTTCGAGTGCTTTCTTCCTTTTCACGTCTCGGCGTGCTCACTCCAGTCTATGCAGGTAGGGGTGGCACAGAGGAAAGAAGTTATGTTAGCAAGCATCATGTTCTTAAAGGGCCACTCATTAGGCTCCTCCTTTTTTTCACGCCCCTCAAAGAAGCTCGGCCATTCGTAGTGTAAACCACGGCAATCACATTTTTCTAATATTGTAGCGCCGCACACTGTGCAGAGCCTTAATTTCGAAAAAAAAAAAAAAAATTCTGCGCTCCTTTTTTATGCCTGACCAATATTCCTTTCACTTGTAGTGACGTAAAGTTGCCGATCGGCGACTTGACGTAGGATACAGCTGGTTGATTGGTCTAAACCAGTCACTATGACAGGCTATGCCTTGCCCTCCCTTCCAAATTTTCGTGCAGATCGGCACCCTTCTCCCTGTGAGGGAGAAGGTTGCTGATCTGCACGAAAATTTGGAACAGTTAAGAACGATTTCCTAACCCCTGTAACTTCCTTTTAATATAGCTCGCATTCGCGAAATTCTCGCCGCAGCATGTTCACAAAGCAAAAGTGCACGTATTTTACTTTATACGCAATTGCTCTTTCCCATTGTGATTCATAATCTCTAGTGTGGCTGCCATGTAATATCAACAGAGTATGAAGTTCTGTGCTGACAATTGGTGGCAACCCATTGCAAGAGGCACATTCACTCAAAACAGTGCTTTTAAAAGGGCCCTACAATCCTGTTTGAGCATGGTCATAAAACGCTGCCGATTGATTGTAGAGGTTTCCGAGAACACGCGAGCCAAATATTATAGTGCAGCATGCGGCCTGTAATTCACAATAAATTATCAAATCAACTCAAGATTGCGTTCCCTTCTCTCGACTAATTACGGAGGAAGTTTAGAAATCACCCGTTGAAGGCCATCTATCAACCATTGGCTGATTTGGACATGGCGCGCTCGGTCGTTACAGGGATCGCTGCGAGAAGCCGCTACTGAAAAAGCCACGCATTTGAAGAAAGAAGAAATAAAAAAAAATGCTGATGGGCATGAGGCGTGCGTGACGTATTATCTTTGCCCATGCCATGCCTCTCTTAGCTTCCAGTGCTTTTGTCAGGATGAGAGAAGAGGGAAGGCGATTGCAGCGTGGTACAAATATTTGCAACTCCACTCGTACTGGACAGATTTTAAAAATTTTTGTGGCGTTGAATTCGTGAGGCAATAAGCTCTTTTTGTGAATCCATACCATGGGTACTAAAAACGTGTTTCAGGGCCTCTTTAATTTGTGACTGCTATGGGCCTCTATCTGTTGTTTGACTTCAAAACAGCCGGCACCAGCAGCTGTGAAGAGTGGGCGCAGGCCTCTGTATTAATTCAGAAGCACCTGAGAAAATGGCATATTCGTGCTCTGCTTTTAAACTCCTTGCCGTGTAGGACTTCAAGATTTGGCTGAGATATTTATGGTAGCGGCTGCTATTCATTATGTGTTTTCTCACCAAGCTAAAGGGGTGGTTCATTATCTCTTTAAAGGAACAGTGACACCAAGTTTCAAATTCAAAATTTGGCATTAATTAAATTGCTTGTTATGCATGAGGTTATTTAGCTAAGTACAAATGGCGTCCGTTTAGTATAAGTTACTCTATTTCAAGTGTAAGGAGCATTCAAAGTCTCAACAGCAGGTTCACGGCCATGCGACAACAACAGTGTGTTGGTGTGTTCGGCAAGCTACTAGGCCACGCCTCAGGCTCTTAGTGATGATAAGCGAGCAGCGACACTGCAGACAATTTCAGTGTTGCGATTATAGTGAACTAAACTTATATTGTGGTAATGCCTTGCAACGGCTTCACTTGCTTTTTTTTGCTTGTTTTGCTTAGTTTGTGTAATGCATTTGTGTGAATCTTGCGTTTTTGTTGTGCCACTTCAGGTGATTTGTTGATGACTCGTGAAGGCAAATGTGATTATTTGACGCCATGGTTATCGCGAACATGTAATGATATGGCTTACCAGCCAGCGTGGCCCTAATGTGCGTGTCTATTTGACTCGCTGCTGCTCAGTCATGCTTCTATTTCTAATCGAAGAATAAAAAATGATTCGCCACATCATGATCACAGCGATTCTATACTCCTCAGTGTTTTCATCATTACTTGTGGACATTGATGACGGTAGCAATGACAAGGGGGGTGGTGGAGACATGCTTATACATGTGCGCACTGAGCTGACGAATTGTCAGCTGAAACTCGAGTTGTCATTTCGTGAGGCCACATGATCAAATGGGGCAAGACCATGGGAGATGACAGCTCGGCAGTGCTGAAATTTGGTGGGCTTCGTACCTGTTTGAATTGGGTTCGATACTGGTCATACTAATCGATATGACATATATTAATTCGAATGACTGTTGCATTATTAGTAATAATTGTTACTAGGGGATCCAAAACTATGTGTTGGTGCAAAAAATGCGAGATGCGTTGAGTTTGTCACTGCTCCTTTAAGACAGGTTTGGGTTTACTTTTGCATTAGTGTTTCACACTCACCCACATACATGAAATCAGAGCTATATTCTTGCTTTGTGAACACAACGAGATCAACATTATCAATAAGTTGTCTGGGATTTTTCTACGCTTCTTCCTTGCAGCAGTTGCCGAATTTTGTGGCCGATATGACGAGACACTTGTTGAAGGCTGTGGAAAAGAGTGAGTTGTTATTCATATGAACCTTCCTGTGGCTCGTGAAACCTGGTCAATCTAAGGAGTGTATGATTAAGAAGCTTGACAAGTTGGCAAAGATATTGTTACGTACCAGTGGCAATATTCTGGACACACTCTATGTGTATCACTAAGCTGGGATTAGTGACCACTATCTTGCCGTGGACAGCTGTTGTTTAACTTGGATGGTTCAAACCATATGGTTATAGCATGAAATTGGACTAGGAGCTAGATAAGAATAATATTGCACAGTCCAAGTTGTTCATACAACTTGGAAGAGCACAAGGAAAATGCGATTGTGGTAAAAACCCGCGAGAAATGTTGAAACAAGAGAGGACTGAAGCAACAAGCACAATAAAGCTTGTGTGGCATGTATTTTACATATCTTTACACTCTGTCTTGCTGTTGATCCGTGCTTATTTTCACGAAAAAAAAAAAAATACTGTATCTCACGCTAGCTAGCCCAGTTCAGCCATGTTACATGCATAATGTATCAATCACTATTGTGTGTCAGTTATATTAAGCTTAATCTTACAAATCCAGTGAAAGCTGATTGGTATTAGTGTCTGCTGATATACACATATTTGATTTCTATGTAACGCATGGATACATTGAATATGCAATATCTTTTTTAGTAAGTGCAACAGAAGGCATGCTCACACAGCGGGTCACCTAGCAGTTGCATTTGATCAGCCTCAGTGAGTATGAATGTGAACTGCTGACAATGTTTCGGGACAACTGTGTGCTTCTGTTGCACTCACTCAAAAAAGATTGTGTACCTGGCTGTTATAATAGGGTGTGCATTTGTGCTGAGGTGTGCTGTTATGTGTATATACTTCTGGCATTTTCACTAATCAAATTTAGTTAGAAGTCGGCACCCGTGTTGTATCCTTTCCTATGTTCTTGTTTTTTTATGTTGTACAACTATGTTGATTTTAAATAAAATCTTAAAAATAACTTGAGAGTTTTATAGTCATAGCTATTATAAGTGTTGCTGTACTGCCAAATTCTGAAACTCAAGTTCAGTCTTTTACCCTACCTTAACAAAAGTGAGGCCTTTGAGATCCACCATTTTACTCATTGACAAAAGGTCTTGGTTGAATCTGCTGGCATGTGCAACTATTGCGCTCTTAGTGGGAACTGTGCCTAGCAGCATTTGCAGTGATCTCAGAACTTTTTAACACTACAATCGAGCCTATATATTGTTACGTGGAAAATAACAGTTGTCAGTCCGCAGCCACAACGCAGCTCACCGACAACGTCCACTTCTTCACTCTCAGACTGAGGCACCTTTCTTGGGTATGCCCCACTATGCCCTGTTACAGTCAGCCGAAATCACGTAACACGACCTCCGGCGGCAAAAGCGCCGACCCGAGGAGTTTACAGGGCCACAGCAGGAGCAGTGTGGTAACGCTTGAGGCTTGATACGTGGACGATGTTCCTTGACAGCAGAGCGGAAGAGGTTGATGGATTATCAGGGACAATTTCATATGTAGTGTCGGTCACTCGTCTAAGCACGCGGTATGGGCCCGTGAAACGAGAAAGTTTTTCTGAAAGGCCTGCATGTCGCGTAGGGGACTAAAGAAGAACGAGGGAACCTGTTGGAAAGTGTTCGTCGTGATGCCGCTCGTCGTAACGATGCTTCTGCGAGTCTTGGGACTCCATTAATCTGCTGCGGGCAAGCTGACGAGCACGGTCAGCTCGGGTAATAGCGTCGCGTGCATATTCAGAAGTATACTGCGTAGCGGCTGGCAGGAAGGTATCCAACGGCAATGTTGGTTCCATCTAAACAGAAGGTAAAATGGCGAGTACCCAGCAGTGTCATGCCGGGAGGAATTGTATGCGAACGTCACGTAGGGTAGTGCAAGGTCCCAGTCACGATGGTCTGTCGAGACGTATTTCGATAGCATGTCTGTCAGGGTGCGGTTTAAATGTTCTGTAAGCCGTTTGTCTGGGGGTGGTACGATGTCGTGAGCTTATGTTGAGTAGAGCAGGAACGCAGGATATCGTCAACCACTTTCGAAAGGAACGTACGGCCTCGGTCTGTCAGCAATTTACGAGGGGCTCCATGCACTAAAATGAGATCGCGTAGTAGAAAATCAGCGACGTCTGTAGCGCATCTTGTTGGCATGGCTCGCGTAACTGCATAACAGGTCGCGTAATCTGTAGCCACTGCGACCCACTTGTTTCCGGAGGCGGATATTGGGAAGGGACCGAGAAGATCCAAACCAACACGGAGGAATGGCTCCGATGGGATGTCGATGGGCTGAAGATATCCGGAAGGGAGTCCCGACGGCTTTTCGCGAGGCTGGCAAATTTCACAAGCCTTGACATAGCGACGTACAGAGCGTGAAAGGCAAGACCAGTAGAAGCGGCAGCGGACACGGTCATATGTGCGAGAGACACCAAGGTGACCCCCAGTTGGCGCGTCATGGAGCTCGCGTAGGACTGTGGAATGCAGGTGCTTCAGTATGACCAGAAGTAGGTCGTGACGATTAGGCCATAAATTACGCCGATATAAGGTGCGGTCCTTTAAGGTAAACATGCGAACAGAAGCGTCTTGCGATGAAGATTCGAGCTGTTGTATTAGGCGGCTGATATCCGGATCGCAACGCTGCTCGTCCCCGAGATGAAGCAGCTGGGAGATGGAAAGGACGCAGCCCACGGAATCAGTGCTTGTAGGATCACAGTCGGCCACAGGGTAGCGTGACAGACAATTCACATCTTTGTGCAGTTTTCCTGATTTATACACTACGGTGTTAGAATACTCCTGGAGGCGGAGTGCCCAGCGGGCGAGACGACCTGTGGGATCTTTGAGGGAGGCGAGCCAGCAGAGAGCGTGGTGGTCGGTGATAAATAGTCGGCCGTATAAGTAAGGGCGAAATTTCGCGACTGCCCACACCAGCGCTAGGCATTCGCGCTCTGTGATGGAATAATTACGCTCCTAGGTGGACAGCAGCCTGCTGGCATAAGCTATCACGCGATGCTGCCCACGTCGCTGAGCCAACACAGCGCCTATTCCGTAACCGCTACCATCGGGGCGCACTTCGGTCGGCGCCGTAGGGTCGAAGTGAGCCAGCACAGGAGAAGAAGTGAGCAAAGTGGTCAGGTCGGAAAACGCTGCTCGAGGGAGCCCAGGTAAACGTCTCATCTGGTTTGAGTAAATCTGTTAGGGGCTGAGCGATTTCCGCGAAGTTCTTGATGAACCGCCGAAAATAGGAGCAGGGCCCCACAAAGCTGCGGACATCTTTGGCGGTTTTTGGCACAGGAAAGTCCTTCACTGCTCGAACTTTTTCTGGGTCAGGCTGTACGCCGTAAGCGTCAACAATATGTCCAAGTATTTTAATGCGAAGGCGACCAAACTGGCACTTGGATGAATTCAGCTGAAGGCCGGCAAGACGGAATACATCAATAATTTTCGACAGTCTCTCAAGGTGCGCTTCAAAAGTGGGAGCAAACACAGTCACGTCATCCAGATAACAAAGGCACTTAGACCACTTGAATCCATGGAGCAGGAAGTCCATCATTCGTTCAAAGGTGGCGGGGGCATTACATAAGCCGAAAGGCATGACTTTGAATTGGTAGAGGCCATCGGGTGTTACGAAAGCCGTCTTCTCTCGGTCCATGGGGTCCACGGCAATCTGCCAATAACCAGAACGAAGATCGATGGAAGAAAAGTAGGCGGCACCGAGGAGGCAATCAAGGGCGTCGTCAATGCGGGGCAGAGGGTATGCGTCTTTCTTGGTGATGTTGTTAAGGTGGCGATAGTCCACACAAAATCGCCACGATCCGTCCTTCTTTTTAACTAATACCACGGTGGATGCCCAGGGACTGGAGGATGGTTCAATAATGTCCTTCGCTAGCATCTTGTTCACCTCCTTCTGAATTATGCTCCGCTCAAAAGCAGACACTCTGTAGGGATGGCGGTGAACAGGGTTGGCATCACCTGTGTGTATGCAATGCTGGACAAAGGACATCTGCCCAAGAGGTCGGTCGCCAAAATCGAAAATATCCTAGTAGGCCTCGAGAAGATGTTGTAGGGCTTCAACTTGTGGAGGCGGCAGATCGGTGGCGATCATGCCTACAATTTGACGGCTGCCCGAATGTGTTGCGAGTGACGTGCGCTGCGGTGAAACAAGTGTGTCTAAGACAAGCACTTCAATTTGTGAATCGAGCAATGGACGCAGGTGGGCCACAGAAATGCCTTGTGGAAGCATATGATTCATGTAGCCGAAATTGACAAGAGGTAGACAAGTTTTGTTATCTGTGATGCTGAGCACCGTATAGGGCACTGCAACATTGTGCGCAAGGAGTACGTCGGTGAGAGGCGTAGTGTAATAGTCACCGTCGGGCACAGCTGGTGAGCACAGAAAATCGACGTACGTCACAGTTTTGGAGGGCAGGCGAACAAAGTCGCTGCATTGTAATCGGCATGTAGGTTGGTACGGGGCGGCACTGATTTGTGGCAGTTCAAGGCCGAGCACACCAGTGGAGCAATCAATCAGAGCAGAATTGGCGGCAAGAAAATCGAGGCCTAGTATGAGGTTGTGGGGACATGTTGCAAGCACGGTAAAGAGGACGACCACTTGCTGACCGGCTGCGGTAAGTTGAGCTGTGCACATACCGACGACAGGGACTGTTGCACCATCTGCAACTTGGACGACACTGGTGAAGGGGGGCGTGAGGACCTTCTTCATGCGACGACGAAAACGCGAACTCATAATACAGACGTGGGCGCCCGTATCTATCAAAGCTTCAACAGGTGTGCCATCAACATATACTTCTAGGGTGCTCCGTTTCAAACATAAGGGCAACAGATGATTTTTGGGTAAGGTCAATAGGGCAGCTTCACCTCCAGAAGCTGCGCAGCCTAGTTTTTCGGGGACATGCGGCGGTTAAACGATGGCGAGGGAGAGCGGCGACGCGTATTTGAACGAGAAGGGCGGCTTTGAGGCGGTGGCGACGACGGGACAGGGTGGCCGTAGTCC